TTCTCACCAGCGACGTCACCACCAGGCGCAATCGCGCTCTCCAGACACACCCCCGGCCGAGGGCCTGCGAAAACCCGGGATCCCGAGCCGCGATTGGCGGATCCGCCCCCGCCTGCCCCGGAGGGACCGAGCCTCGCCGAGCGCCCGAGGCAGCCATGGGCGAGCAGGCGGCTCAGCCTCGGCGGCCCGGGGTCGGCGTGGGGGTGGTGGTCACCAGCGCCGCGCACCCCGGCTGCGTCCTCCTGGGCAAGCGGAAAGGCGCGCTGGGCGCCGGCACCTACCAGCTCCCCGGAGGCCACCTGGAGTTCGGGTAGGAGCCCCGCGCCCTCCCTCCCCGCCCTGCCCTTCCCTTGCCCGCCGTGCCCTGAGGCGGCCGTGCGGTGCCGTGCCGTGCTTTCCCTTGCCTGCCCGCCCGCAGGGAGAGCCTGGCGGAGTGCGCGGCGCGGGAGACGCTGGAGGAGGCGGCGCTGCCGCTGCGCCACGTGCGGTTCGCGTCGGCCGTGAACGCGGCGTGCCTGTCCCAGCGCTACCACTATGTCACCGTGCTCATGAAGGGCGAGGCCGAGCCGGGCGCCGAGCCGCGCAACCAGGAGCCCGACAAGAACGAGGGTGAGTAAGCATCCTGTTCCAAGCGCCGTGCCGCGGGCAGGGACACCTCCCACTAGGTCAGGTGGCTCCCAGATTCATCCAGCCTGGCCTTGAACGCTCCCAGGGATGCGGCATCCACAGCTTCTCTGGGAAATGAAAAAGCTGCTCAGGCAAAATGACTCTGTCACTTGTCTTTGTATTGGTAGTTTCTATATGATCCATCTATACTTGAAAAGGAAGAATTGTTATATCACAGAAACAAAGAATATCCTGAGTTGGAAGGGACCCCCAAGCATCATTAAATTCCATTCCTGGCCCTGCACGGGGCAACCTCAGCAATCCCGCTTTGTGCCTGAGTTGTCCAAACACTCCTTGAGCTCTGTCAGGCTGCACTATAGAGCCTATTCCAGTGCCCCACCACCTTTTCCTAACATCCAGCCTAAACCTCTCCTGCCACAGCTTCATGCTGTTTTCTTGGGTCCCGCCTTAACTCTTTACTCAGATTTTTCTTCCTTTTTCTTTTTTTTTCTTTTTTTTTTTTTTCCTACAGGCTGGGAATGGGTCAAATGGGATGAATTTCCTCCAGCAGATCAACTGTTCTGGGCCTTACGCTGTTTAAGAGAGCAAGGTTACAATCCTTTTACAGAAGAGCTCGATCATCTAAAGGGATACACGGGAAATCACCAATTAGAGTAAAAACAAATTGTATGTTATGTAACAAACTAAAGGACAGACCTGCTTTTTTGGTGTAAAAGAAAAAAATACAAAGTGCTCACCCTGCCCATGCGAAAATATTATCTTTCCCAAAGAACATGCCAGCTGTTTCAGTGCTTTTCCCATATTTCACATGACAGTTGTCTCTCATTCCAGACCCACTTCTAGGTTTAGTAGCTAATAATTAACTTTTTCTTCTACTGAAAACTCAGTGTTTTATCTAGTTAGTCTTTACATGGATGACCAGCCATTTGGAAATCAGCACTAGCCAGGGAAGCTTACGCACTTAAAAGCAGTTGCAGCAAAACTTACTCATTTAAATCTGCTTTCCTGTAATTATTGGACCAATTTTAAAACTTGGCCTTGTCTCTTAGCTTCACTTATGAAGCTACTGTCATGAGCAAAAGTTACATTTAATAGACAAAGCCTTTTTTCCCCTGCAGACAGCAGTATACACTTGAAAATCAAAAGAGTATTATAAATGTGAAAAGATTGTCATGACTTATTGCAGGGAATGAAAATTCCCTGACCCTTCTTGCCAGTTGTTATCATAACAGAGTTCTGTTTAGAGCCTCAATTGCATTAATTTATCTGCAGAAATCAGATCTCTGCAACTGATCTGAATTTGCTACTGAACTCTTGGAATGGAGAGGTGCCTACTCTACTAGGCTGACACAAATTTCATTTATAAGTGTAGCTCCATGGCAGAAATCATACTTAGTGGCCAAAAAGAGTTGTCAGTATTAAACTGCACACATGGGTGTAGTTCTGTATGGCTGGCTATTGAGATTTGGTAAAATTGTGAATTTTCAGTTTGACTGATTAAACGACTAAGTTGTTAGTGAATGAAATTACAGTACCAACAGTACATACAAAACAAAGAAGTTAATATTTTAAATTTTTCTAGAATCTGTAACTAATTTTGATTCTTTTCCAGCTGTTGGAAAGACATCAGCAATTAATTTTAAGATATAACTTTCAAATCACTAGTTGGCTCATTTTTTTCCTTGTCAGGGTTCTTTTATAGCATAACTCTTGTCTATTCCCTTTAGATATACTCATTGTACAAAAATGTTGTAAGGTATCTTTAATTTCTTTTGAATGAAGTACAGGCACAATACTGAGAGATTAAAATTGCCTGGAATTATGAATTGACTTCTCAGTTCTTAAAAGAAATCAGCTTGAGGGATTTAAGGCTCTTCCTTACTTTGAACATACATTTTTTTAAATGGAGATGGCTCTTCTTGCTGAGAAACAGAGTGATGAGGCATAAGGATGCTACTGCCCCTGGCAATCCTCCTAATTAGAGTTTGAAGTATTAATTATGTGCAACTTCCCTTAGGACAGACACCCGTTCTCTGAAGTGAAGAAAGAAGTAACATTACACAGCAGTCTTGAAATGGGAAATTTCACCAAAAATTCCTTTGCTACTGTAACTTTGTAAAAATCTTATTTTTCTATTCAAAAGTGGAGATTTGCTTCCTGCAAGCAACCTTATGTACACCGAAAATTATTCCATTCAGCTGTCAACAAAGAAGCTGTAGGAAGAGTTGACAGATGTCCTGTCCATCTGTCACAAAGAATAACGAAGAAAAAAAAATTAAATTATTTAGTACAATTTTTTATTTTAGAAAACATCTAGGTCCTGATGAGAGAACAGGGACCACTGTAAATGGTCTGCTCATGCAATAAATACTTTCTTGGCATATTTTGTTAATGGTTATATACATTCTGTTTCTTGTAAATACACAAGTAGACACTGAAATGAGGACACAACAGTATCTCCATATGTCAGCATTTCTGTATCTTTTCAAAATGGACAGATTACTGCAACCAGCTGTCAGCATTCCCCAACTTAAATAAGTTTGTATGTATCACACATTTATATTTCCCACCCCTCCAGAAAATGTGGTTCTCAGTCGATTTTAGCTGCCAAGACTCAGTCCTTTCAACTAAGTCTTTACTTTGATTTTTGGTACTTTTGCTAAATAGGAAAATCTATTATGTACATATATAAGCCACTGAATAACAGAACACTCAGTTATGATATCATGGTTCACTAAACTGCTTGTAACTGACAGAATTCACCTAAAATGGCATTATAGTTAGGCAGCACTGAGAAGCATACTCCTGAACTGCACATAGTTTGCAGCACTGATGCAAAGGAACTGATTAGAATGCATCTAATACCCAGATTTTGAATTTATGCTAAGTGAACACTGGGCAGTGCTGTTGCCCTACCTATTTATTAGATGTAATATATTGGTTCCATTTAATCCCATAACAGAGTAACTAACAAGCCAGAAAAAGAAGTGGTCATTACTTCAGTTCCCTCTTATGTCTGAAAACAATCACCCACCTCCACAATATTTCAGTTGGTGAATTACATAGATACAGCCATAGAAGAGTTTTGAGTAGACTGTAACACTACACTTCCCATGAGTTTTAATTACATACGTTTGTATTTTGTTTCAAGAATGTCCTTGTAAGTTAGAAGACAAAAGAGGCTGGTGAACTGTGTGTGCTAAGAGATGAAAGAAAATACCAATCCCATTATACAAAGCATTAAGACACTCCATTTTGTAATATTGTGTACGATTCTGATCACTAATGTGAGCTAGAAAAGGGGTAGGCAAGGTTAACTAGAATGACTGAGACAGGGCACATGTATTTGGATTAATGTGAATGAAACAGGAAAGACATTGGAGATAAGCACCCAAGAGGAGAACATGATACTGAATAAAGGTTACAGTATGTACATATATTAATAACTTCAAGCTGTGAAAGAGGTGACAGTTTAATAACTCTGTAAATACTTCTAAAAGGAACAGCTGAAACAAAACCAAATTCCCCATTTCTCTGAAAACAAAACCCACTTCCCCATATACTGTGATTTAATGTGACTGAAGTCCTTCTTTTTACAGCCTGATGGGATTTGTACAGATTGGTCACAGGTGGCAGCATTACTGGCAGCAATGTTTGAAAGATTACTTGAGCAGAGGAGGAATTACCTGATTCATCAGATACTTCCTGTGAGGAATCTACAAAATGAAAAAGGGAAGAGAATTGTGATCTGTGCTGCAGGACAGAAACCTTTAACTGCCAGGAGCAACAGTTCACATGAGTTTTGAAATTCTATCAGAGGGTTACATAAGAGAAAAGCAGCTGTCATAAAATGACTCCTTAAGCAAAACAGAACAAGGAAAGGAAAGCCAAGGGAAGTGCCTTTGGAAAAACAAAATATCATTGCAGCTGATGCAGGAAATGTAGTTGTGAAAGTAAACAAATTAGCAGGTTCAAAGAACTGAAAAAATTATAGATGACAAGGACAAAAAAATCCTTGAGTGCTTTGATCTGAAAGGAGCTAAACCTGCAGCATGCCCCACAGTGTGTCACCTCCAGGGTCCCAGGACACTTAACCAAGTATTGGGGGCAGCCTTGTGGGTGGGCACTCACTGCTTCAGGGTCTGCCCAGCTTTGTGTGCACCTGGAAGGGCTCACCTGAAAAGGAAGGACAGGCTTTCCACTTCTGACTCCTCCTCAGCTGCTTCTAATGCTGACTGGGCATTTTGCATAGGGAAAAATGGAGTACAAATTTCTGAAACTCAGTCAGAATTCAACCACATACTGGGATAAAACGTGCTGAGTATTGAAGTTACATGGCAACTCATGTAAGATTCAAGTTTGGAAAATTGAAGTTAGATCAAAGCTGAGTTTATTTATGACAAATCATTCATTATATATTACAATAATTACAAACTCTTTTATTACACCTTATTGCCATATTTTTGTCCTTGATACACAGATGATCAAGAACACAGATTTAGGCAGTAACAAAAAAAAGATACATTACAAACTTCATGTTTCATTTCTGTGGCATAGAAAAGGCTATCATCAAAAAAGTAAAGTTACTAACAAACATACAAGGGGATTCCCCTTACACATTTTTTTCCCAGGAACTTATGTCATCTAATGTATAGTAAATACATATATATAAATATATATTTACACATCTCTTGCAAACATACATTTACACAATCACTGAAAATCTGACATCTCTCCCCCAGCAGACAGCTCCCAGACATTTCTCCCAGCTCCCAGAACATCTAACAGGAAAAAAAACAAATCTGTAGTCCATGGTTTTAAATTAGTCACCCTATTTCTGAGCCAGCTGTTATCTTCTCCCTGCACAGGGCTGCTGGTGTAACAAAAAAAAGGATATTGCAGTTTGTGACAAACAGCATCTAACCTACCTTCACCACAGGAAAGGTCTACTAGGGGTACTGTCCCCCTTGTACCTAGTCTGAGTCACTGCTGCTGCTTGAGGAGTCTGTTGACATAACTTCTACATCATCTTCATTCTCTTTATTGTGTCCTGGAGGCTCCAGCATGAAGTCATTACTATGATTAGGAGGTAGCATGTTCATTGACATATCACTTGACTGCCAAGGATACTGAGGAGCAAGCACATCTGGAAAAACAGAGGCATCATCAAGAAAACTTTCAGTTTTGTATATTGACAAATTCAACATGACAGCTCAACCAGAACTTCAATATAAAATCAAAACAAATCTTGAAATCCTTTCTAAATTTTGGACAGATTAAACCCTCCAGAAACAGCTGGAAAACATCTCATGATGGAGCAATTCTATAATTGTGAAAGTCTGCTCTGCCAGAGAGGCCCATTTATGTAGGTGGCTCTTGATAACTCATATTCAATACAGAGCTTTTCATCTTCAAAGCACAGTTTGAACTGATTCAGCATTCACAACTACTGGGAGTAATGAAAATTATCACAGTCTGTCAGTATGCAAAAATAGATTAAAATATTAGATTCAAAAAAAAATCAGGCAGAACATAAAAATTCAGAGAAAAAGGATTTATCCAAATATGTCTAAAAAGCAGCTCAGAATGGAAGCTAGTGTTTTACATTGTGTGGCCATGCTTCAATGCTAGAAGCAGTCTGCTATTAAACCAGGCTGAATGGGTGTGCTAAGCAGCCTCAAAGTTTGGAGGCTACTGAGCAGTCCAGAAACTGGTCTGCACATTCACTAAGGATTCAGTAACTGGATATCTCTGCAGGAGTCTCCAAAAGGACTAGATCCCATAATTAGCATTCTCAGGACATGCCTCCACACACCAACAGATTCAGCATCCCTACACAAAATGCCCAGGCAGCTTCAACTTTCTTGTAAATCAATGTTTCCCTCTTACCTTGACAGTCTGTGTGAGTGTTTAACCTGACAGAGGAGCCCAAGACTCAATTAAGAATTTTACTGGAGGAGTTTAAATCCCACATTTTCCAGTTTCTCAAGGAAAATTCCTAAAATTCCTGCAAATTCCTTTCAGTTCTTATAGAGACAGCACTCAAAAGTAAATGGATCAAGTCTGCATCCTCTAAGGCAAAGGAGCCAGCCAGAATGGGCTCTACTAAAACATACACAAAAAATATGCAACTTCTAATTACCTTTCTTTACTAGGTGTTCACTGCTAGGGAACAACATCAACCACAATTTTCATTGCTTTACCTCTGATTTGCCTTTGGTAAGGGAAATGTATAACTGCTATGAATCTATAAGCAATAAAGAAAAAAAAAAACCTGAGTTTCACTTACCTGGCAGTCTGCCTGCTGCAAGTGCATCCCCTGGTAAGTGTCCATTGACTCCATTGGTGGGTGGGTTGTTCATCTGACCCAAGAGACCACTTCTCATTTCCAGATCTGTAGGATATGGCCTACGTGGGTCCCCTTTAAGAAAAAAAGGAAAAAGAATGCCTTGAAATATTTAACAATTGTCTTGCAGACATTAGCGTTAGCTTCAGAGCCTAGCTGAATGACCAAAAACCCCCATACTCTGGTTGCTTGGATGAGTAATGAGCATCACACCTCTTCTATTAAAATCCAAGTCTGTCTTTCACTCAGACTTTGTTTGTTCACTCAAACTTGGCAGAAATAGCATATTAAAAAAACCCCAAACAACCCAAAGCAACTCAAACAACAAAAAAAACCCCAAACAAATCCATCATGTTTAAAAGATATCTTTGCTCACCCTGCTACTTCACAGCTAAACAGCAAGGACAGGAATTGGATGAAACACATTTTCATTTTGGACAAGGAGGGTAGTACCCAAAATTGAAACATGTCATAGTAAAAGTTCTGCTTCTGGCTCCACTGTTTACTAACACTCTCTGAAAGAATATTGTAAGGGGCAAGAGGGAACACAACCAAACACATAGAAAAGCCTTTAGCATACTTGGCTTTGACTTATTATCAGGGTAAATATTCAGGGGAAAAAGGCAAACAAGGAAGAACAGAGGCCAGTCTGTTAATGAAAGCAGACAGTTTCATAACCTCTTGGAGGTGTATGTGAAGTCCACAGATTTTGGATATTCATTTTAGAATATGGATATAACAGTTGAAAACAATTCTAGTCTAATAGACCCTGGTGTTTATCACTGTATAAAAACATTTTAAGAGCAGATATTAACCATGATTTATTATTAAGAAAAAAAATCTACTATCATAAACACAACAGTTACCTGGTACCCACGTCAGAGGGGCACAAACAGCATTGCTAGCACTGATCCTATGGGCATATTTAATTATTTCTTCAGAGGAAATGGCACCTGGAAGAATGGAAAAAAAAATGTTGCTGCATTCTCAAGAGATTGTGTCATTTAATTATTTCAGAATATTGACCACCAATATTTAAAAGGCTGGGAATGTGATTTTGCCAAACATTAAGAGCCTGGTTCAAAAGCAATGACTGTTTAGAAGATTCTCAATCTATGCAAAGATGAGCTTTGCAGTGAACTGATTTTACACACAGAAGTACAAAAAACCTTCAATATCAATGCTTCTTCAACCTCATGAAAACCACAAACAATCTTTTAAACAAGTGTACTTGACAAGCACAAAAAAAGTCTAAAACTTCAGCTCCTGCTTACTATAGAACTTTCTGTAGCAAAGTTTTATTTGTTTAGTAACTATAGACTGTAGCCAGAAGAGTCCTTCCAAATATGTGCTTGTATTAGATTAATAGAAACTTTATTCAATTCCTTGATTTTCTAGATGAAAGAGGCATAACAAAATGATAGAAGACACCATAAAAAAAAAAAAAAAAACCAAAAACAAAACTAAGCAAAACAACCTGAAGAAGATGCCTTCTCCCCTCCCAAAAAAAGTTAGTTTGGTAAGTGCCACAGAATGGCAGGAATTGCTACAATTACAATCTAGTATCACCTATCACCAGCTCACCAGCTAGTCAGTGTGTGCATATACACACAAACATTCTCTTCCTTTCCTTAGCAAACCTCCTGAGGAAATTTGGTAATGTACTTAAGTAATCAGACATACTATTATCAGTCCAAGAAGACTGCTGAGACACTTTCATATTAAAATATGTTTGCCACAAAAAAAAAATAAAATTCAATGCTGCCTTTATTCTGAGAAAATGGTTACAGTTTCATAATGAAATGGAAATTTGTTTATACACAAAGCATCTGAAATCTGTGATGGGAGAATTTAAAAAAATTTAAAAGGCCCAATTTGAGCTCACTAACAGCTTTCTATAGAATTGCATTTACTTAGTATGTACAATTATGGATACTCACCTTTTCGTGCTTTTTCAATTGATTTCAGTTTTTCCTTTGCTTGATAAACAGCTGTTGCCTAGTTGTAAAAAATAAAAACCCACAAAGGAAACCAAACCTTCAATGCATCTTTAATTTATAAACATCTACATAAAGTCAGCTTTCTGAATAAACCCTTCTATTTAATTCCATTTTAGAAGAGAAACTTCTGTGAACATTTTCCAAATACACTGAAATAATGTAGATTTAGAAGCAAATTAGCATTATTTTAAAAAAACCTTAATACCACGATAACTAAACAGTGTTTGACTACTGAGAAAAAACCCAAACCACTAAGCTCTTCTCAAGTTTTAAATATTTAAATCTTCTCAAACTAACACAACATCACTTTGCCCAGAACCACCTTTTTTACAAGAAGATGCTCAAAAGCAAACACATCATTATGAACTTACCAGTATGTGCTCTGCTTCTTTAAGCTGTTTCTGCAGCTGCTGAATATCATTATCCCGCTTTTCTACTACCTTTTCTAAGAGCTGCATTTCATGATGGATTTTTCCCTGATCAACTGCCAACTTCATTAGCTCTTGAAACTCTCCATCTCTCTGAATCAGCAGTTCCAGGATCTATTGAACAACAGTTTTGTACAACTTTTAATTTGGCTAGAGTAACAACACACCCTCATTCATGCTACAAAGAAGAGCAAATGGCATCCATAGGAGTATTTTTGTTTGAATGAAAAATGAAACAAAATTTCTTTCTGTTTGCAGAAACAGCCTATAAAGCACATAAAAAATGAATAAAAAACAGGAGAACCAATAATGCCTTTGCAGCAGGGCCAAAGCCCCATTGTGACCATTAACTCGAATATAGGCACAGACAAAGGGAAAAAGTAAGAACAAACAAAAGAATGGAAAAAAGTTAGAAGTAAAGCATTATGCTTACCCAAAGAAGCACAACTCAGAAAATCAGCTTACCTGGCTCTCCTCTCCTGGTTGTGGAAGCTTTTGGTTTCTTGAAATTGCCAAAATTTCAATTAGCTCCCTGAAAGGAAAACTCAGTTTGAACAATTTTCTAAGGCATTCTCACATCAAGTCATCCCAAAATTACCCAGAGGATTGGTATCATTACAAAAGTATTCATGGACCTGAGTATTTTATATTTTATAGTACAGTGTGGACAGGGATTTTTCAACCAAGCAAGCACACTTTATTCCTTGTTATTTGAGCTCATGAAGCCCCCATGTATTTGAACTCAAGAAATGTGCTAAGTTCCTGTTAAACCATAAAAGACATGAGCAGAATCTGAGAGAAGAAACAGCCTAATGGAGTGCCCTCAGACCCTTCTTCTACTACCTTTATTTGTTGCAAGAGGGTCCTCACTGTTTTACTTCTCTACTTTTCTCCATTTTTTCCCCAATATACTTGTTATTTAGAGCAACTAAGTCTACATTTTCAAATATCAACAGAGTCTGTTATGGAACTACTTTTACAACAAGTATTTCCACAATGGTATATTAGCTGTGCATCAAGCATACAAAAAATATAAAAGAACCCTGGTAATATTCTGGTGCTAGAAATGCTTCTCAAACAGACCTCTTGATCACTCTCCCAGATATCCAGATACTCTGCCACTGTTCTGAAGAACCTCTGGGTATCACAATGCAAAGAGGCATTTTCTGTACACTGAGCAAAGTTATCTGACTTCTAAGACTCTGAATGGCAGTTCAACCCTAAGCACGGAGACACTGCCCTTGGAAGTACTGATTATTTGCTTGGTCCAGTGTGGATTATTTGCTTGGTCCAGTTCAGTGGGGGGTGTGAGTAATACAGCAGTGGAGCCAGAAATGTCTCAAAAAAAAAACCAGTAAAGCTCTGATCTTGATCTGTGTCTCTTGGTCACTCCTGAACACTACTATGATTTGAAACAATTAGAGAATAAAGAAACTTGTCACTGTCACTAAAGCTTTATTCCATCTGACCAACACTGAGCAGTAGCAAATCCATTTTAAGTAGGTCAGGTACCACCATCGAGGGTGATGTCACGGGCTGTAATTCTGCCCTGTGTCAGCCAGGTAATGCACAGATGTAGATTCAAAACGACAGAAAGGTTCCAGATTAGACATGTGGCTTAATTTCTGCCCCTACCACCAAACCAGTACTGTGACAGAGAAAGGCCTACCCCCAGGGTGCTGCAACACTTTGCTGGATCAATAGGAAGATTCTCTAAATGCTGCTGAGCGTTGCTGTGGCTTCATTGTGGCAGAACGCCAGTTCCAGCGCTCCAAAAAAATTAGTAATTTAGATAAGGAACAAGTTTGTTTTCATTTTTCCATAAACACATGCTCTCCAGCCACTCTTATGTCAGAATAAAATCTGTGACTGAGAATAAAGCTTAACCAGACACAAGGAGAGCAACTCACCAATAGCTTATCCTCCTCTTGAGGATCATTGAGCGAGTGAGCCACATGGACAGCACAGGTTATTCCCTCTGAAAATGCTTTCCTAAGATCCTGCTCTCCTTGAGGTGTGGAAAATAATTAGGAACTATCTGAACTTCACTGCCAGCTGTGTCTCCACGACATGGTTGACAACTTGGATGGGGATTACCAGCCAGGACTCAAGACCCTGGATTACATATCTGAGCATTTCTATCACTCTGAAGAGGAGCTCTGCAGCCTACGTGGAATGAATGTACCACTAATATAGGCAGTGACCAGAACAGCTGATGTCATGCAACACCATCTACGTATTTCTGACTTAAGCATATTTTTTAGTGACTCATAAAATGCCTAAAATCCGCGTGTAAGTGTGCACGTCACAGAAAACCAGGTGTCAACCAAGTGACAAAGGCAAGTGGGAGAAAAAGGGAGCTGCTCCTTCTCTCTGCAAACCACCGATGCTTTCCCACTGGGACGAGTGCAGGGCCGGGCCGAGCCCCGCTGCAGCACCAGCCCCTCACCCGCAGAGCCGGCCTGAGAACGGCCAGAGAGCAGGAAAAGGCGAACCCGAGCGGCTCGGCCAGCGCTGGCTCCAGTCGCGCCGGGCCCCTCCCATCCCACCCTCAGGGGCTGCCGCTCCGCCCGCCGCCCCCGCCGCCGGCTCCGCGCACGCACCGCGCCAGGAGCCCTCACCCCGCCCCCGGCGCCCCGCCGCCACGCGGGGCCGACGGGGACCCGAGCGCGGTACCTGGCCAAGAGCTCGAGATCCTCCAGCGCCGCCAGGAGCCGGTCCCGGGTGCTGCTCCGCTCCCCGCCTCCCCCGCCCGCCGCCGCCCCGACCCCGGCTCCTGCTCCTGCTCCTGCCGCCGCCGCCGCCGCCATCGCCATCCGGGCGCGGACCCGCGCGGGAACCGCCCCCGGCCGGCGCAGGGACGGGCTGCAGCCGCGAGGCGGCGCGCGCATGCGCGGGGCGGGCGGGCGGATCCCTTCCCGCGGGGCTGGCCGGGCTCGTCCGGGGAACCGGGGTGTGAGGGGAAGGGAGGCACTTCTGCCTCGTCCGGGCCGCATGTGCGTCTGTGACCCGCCCGCCTTGAGGCGGGGTCGCTGTGCGGGGATCTGCGCTTGTTGCTCTTTGAATCACAGGATCATTTAGATTGGAAAAGAGTTCTGAGATCATGGAGTCTGAATAGCGTCATGTCAACCAGGCCACGTCCAGTCTCTCCTTAAGCACCTCCAGGAGTGGTGACACCGCCACCTCCCTGGGCAGTCCATTCCAATGTTTAACCACCCTTTCTGTGAGGAAAGTCTTCCTGATGTGCAATTTAAACCTTGCCTGGTGCAGCTGAAGACTTGACTGTGACCTCTCGTTGTCCTGTTGGTAGTCATTGGGGAGGAGAGGTCAGCCCCCACCTGGCTACAACCATCCTAACTGGAATGCATTTGTGGAGTCCCCACAAAGAGCCTCCAGATGACATTGATTTATGCTAAAGACACAGAAAAGGGGTGAAATGTGTGCAACTGAATCACATTTTCAGGGGTTTAACTCAATTTTTGAGAGTCTTGGTGTCCAAAAATCCCTCAGGTGCCTTTGATCAGATGGAGGATGAAATCACAGAATCACACAAAGGGTCAGGTTGGGACCACAGGGGGTCATCTGGTCCAACCTCCCTGCTCAAGCAGGTTTGTCCTAGAGCACACTTCACAGGATTGCATCCAGAGGGTTCTTGATATCTCCAGTGAGGGAGACTCCACAACCTCTCTAGGCAATCTGTTCTAGCACATGGTCACCCCCACAGTAAAGAAATTCTTCCTCATGTTCAGGTGGAGCTTCCTGTGCATCAGTTTCTGCCCATTGCCTCTTGTCCTATTGCCTGGCACCACTGAGAAGCACCAGGCTCCGTCCTGACACATCTCCTTTAGACCTATATATATATCCAGTGTTTTACTGACAATCAAAGGAAGTTAAGTGCATGATACAGAAAGCACAACAAAAACCTGAGCTTTAAGTCAGACCAAGACCAGGGTTTTACCTGGGCTGGCTGTCCCATACATGACTGGAGGCGACACTGCCTGTGCACACCTGTGTGTCCATGAAGGCAGCTTGGTGTCCATCATGGACCTCTGCACACAATGGTTGGGGCAGGCAATAGGCACAAATCCTGCCCCCAGCCCTAGAAGAAGTTGAATTATAATTAAAAAGTACTGCTGTGTTGTGGGGGTTTTCTAATTATAGCTGCTCTATATGGGCTGGTGAAACGGGCTGCTTGATCTGGGTGGAGCCAGTGGAATTTTTTTATATTAACGAAATTTCCAGTAATGTGGAAAGACCCTGAGAGGGCAGGGTGGAGGGAAGATGAGGGAGTACAGAGTGAGAGCTAATCTGGGGCCACGGTTTATTAACCAGGGCAAGCACTGCCACCATACAACAGGGAGCCCCAGCAGACCTCGTGTCCTTCTGCTGTCAGCAGGCAGCTGCCTGTAAACAGCAATTTTCTTCCCCCCTGACTAGAGAAAGGCCTGAAAGGCCTACATGAACAATACTACCCTACTTGAACAATAACATCTCTGACTGCTCTGGTATTTACTCTGATTACCTGTTACCTTCTGCAATAAGTGTGTTCCTGAGAAATTTACATTTATTTAAAGAAGAAAAAAAAGGCAAGAAACTCCTTAGTAATTCTTTGGATTGTGATTTAAATAAGCAATTCAACATTATGAGATTTGTGATAAAGCAATGAGATTTGGCAACTCTGAGAAAAAAACTTTGCCAACAGGAGTAATTTAAAATTCCTTTGCAATGCCCAACAACCCTCAACATTCTGATTGTAAATCGTTTGGGAATTCTGTTTAAACTGCATAGCAGATAAAATCTCATCAAATAAATAAGTTTTGCTTGCTTTTTTTTCCCTCCTCTATTTCCTTGCTTTTGTTCAGGGAAAGATGTAATCAGTGATGGTGTCTGCTTGTGCATCCAGTTCACTGATTTGTTAGTGTCTGTATGGGTGCATAAATAGAAAGAAATAGCGACATCAAAAACAAAGCAGTCCTTCCACTAAATCATTTTCTTCCTCATACTCATTTTGACATCTGAATTATTTAGACTTGAAGCACTTGTGCTATATTTCAGGGCAATAATGCTGCTTTCACTTGGGCTAAAAGCTTGCAGCATTAACAGGACCCCAAAGCTGACAGGTGTGAATATCTGTTATAGGTGATTTCTGTAGCATGATCTTTCATTCTCCTTGTGCCTGGGAGCTTGTTCCCTCCCTTCCTCTTCACAGCAGCACTACTCCCATCCATCCAGGCCAATACCACCCATCTTTCCCTGGAGCAGCCCCCCTTCTCTCCCTGCTTCTCAAATTTCTGTCCCTCTTCCAGGCAACATGGACAACTGTGCTTTCTGCTGCCCAGTTCTTTCCTTCTCCTTCCCCTGGCCATGCAGCCATGGCTGGAGAGTGCAGTGGAATAGGCAGGGACTTTATTGTGCTTGTGCCTCTGTGTGGGAGCACAGGGTGAGACCAGAGGTATCAGGGAATGCCTGCCTGTGCCAAGACACAGAAAGTCATTCAGACCATGCCAGAGGGGTCATCTCCTTCAGGACAAAGCGAAAGCCTGGGTGAAATGGGCTCATGCCCCAAACTTGTCCCATGGGCTGATTTCTTTAAGACTGAGTGAATAATTTGCTGAATAGACTTCTGAAACATTTGCCTTTAAAAACAACAGAGCCTCTGTTCCCCCAGTGTTGGTTCCTCTGTTACCTCAGTTCTTCAGTGCTTTTCTCCTACTTTCCCCTGGGTAAACTTTTTTCATAGTTGTGTTGGTTTTGAGCCAGACCTGCTTCTTTAAAAATCATGCCCCTCCTGAATAACTAAGCATTGTTCCCAAATATTTCCAGCAGTCTGAGAACATTTTATTTTCTGTGGCCATACGTGGATCTTTGCACAGTGAGTTTATTAGACATTTCAGAGGTCTTTCATTTCAGATTGTCTATTCAATGGCATGCTGAATGTATTGTTAAGAACCTGCTTGCATAAGCAAAAATAGCTTATTTTATCTTGTTCAGTTGAGTCTTTTCTCTTCCAGAATGGGCCTTGAAGTGATGATCTGCAGAGCAAACTGATTCCTCTAGACAAGTCTAGGAGCAGCTGATCTGATCTAATAGTTCACCAAGGGCAAGAAGCTGAGATGTTGCTAACTTCTCATGTCCCAACTGCAGATTTTCACCCACCCTTAGCTTCTCCTTGGTGTTTGACATATGGTCCATGAGCCACTTCAACTCAATAACCAGACTGAAGAATATTTAATTTGGGAGAGGGTGTTCATTTCCTTCTGTTTTAGAGAGTGAACTCTAACCTCATCATATGGAACCATGCCTTCAGAGCGTGGCTTTAGTTACAACTAATTTCATGGGACTGTGGGCTACTGCTGAAAAGTGAAGTCTTCCCCTTCTCTTATTCATAATTCAGTGCAATTCAGATCTAGGATTCCTCTAGTGCAAAGCCTTTTTTTCCAACATAATACTGTGATTTCTTAACTTCAGGTATTCCTACTTTTTTTTTTTTTCCTGAACTAGAGGATCACTTTAGAACATGGAAGTTGAGCTGTAGAGAATCTCACCTAAGAAGCCCAAAGCAGGTCTGCAGTTCAGTTGAAATCTGTGTTTTTCTGGGCTACAATGTTTTTCAGCTGTCTTCTAATTTATACATTCCAGACACTAGACATCAAGTGTTCAGTTGGCAACAGCTGGGTTTACCACACCTTAAAATATTAAGGGAAAATACTGACTACAGAAGATACGTAACTCCTGATGGCTCTCAGGACCATGTGTAATAAAGCATTGCAATCACTACAAATAAAAGGGCAGGAGGATAAGCAAGGAGAGCAAGAAAGAAAAAGGACAGAACAAATACTCATTTCCACTTCCCCTAAAAAATGTAAAAATAAAATCCTTTCTGTCAAATATCAACTAAAATAGAAATCAAACATCTTGTGCACTGTTTGGAAAGATTTCACAGCTGTACTTTGGTCTGGGAAGATGAGAATAATCATCCCTCATTTATCAACATGTCTTTACACCATTAATATTTTGAAATGTGTCTGATAAATCATCCATTTCTTATTTCTATTTAAAAAGAAATCTATGTTTTCCTGCTCACTTATTTTGGATAGCAATTTTAGACCAATGAGATAAGACAGGAAATTAAAAAGGTGGCTTTGCTTAACTGGTGTAATTTTAGAATAGGTTACAGATGAGATAAAAATAGATAATACTATGAGCCAAAACTTATTTTTTGGGGGGAAAGACTGTGAAATGCTAGTACATATGGCCAAAACCAGAGTTTGGTATGCCATTCCAGACTGTTTCAGCACAGAATTAGCTCTGCTTTGAGCTATATTAAACTTGAGTTACACTGATTTCTTCTGGTGTAAATTTGGGCACAGAGCCCCTCAAGACAGGAAGTCACCCAGGCAGAAAGGAGTCCTTACTTTCAGTCTGCTGGAGGGCTTGTGGGGACCAGTGCTGCCTATGAAGTAGGAGGTGTTGAGTGGGAAAGAGGACCAAAATTGTCCCTGGATAGTGAGGGGAGGGAAAATAAGGAAAGAAAGAAAGAAAAAAGAATGTCCTTTGAAAAGGAAAAGCCTGTTTGACAGCTTGGCCACTAGGGATATTTACAATCCTGCCAAGTCTTCCCAGGAATAAAGGAAAATTTTGAGGCAATTAAATATGAGATTTTTTCCTCACCAAGCTAAAAGTTAATGCTGACTACTTCGTGAAATAAAACATCCAATTAGAGATAATGAGACTCCTGGGGTAACCCCCCAACACATAGTAATTTTGAGCCTTCATTAAGTTAAACTTGTTTATTTGGAAAAAAAAAATCTCATTT